TAGCAGTAGTAGTAGTAGTAGTAGTAGTAGTAGTAGTAGTAGTAGTAGTAGTAGTAGTGGTCGTAGTAGTGGTCGTAGTCGTAGTTGTAGTAGTTGTCGCAGTAGCAGTAGCAGTAGCACCCGCGACCCCCCCGCGATCCATTTGCGACCCACACGCGACCCACCCGCGACCTACCCGCATTGGCTTGACGAGGAAATCGGCGCCTGCGGCGGGGTCGTTGCATAATTTTGTGAAATTTGGAAGCCTGCGGCGGGCTCCTCCAGGGTCTTGCAAACTGCCGACGTCCCAACCGCCCCCTCACTCTTATCCGCATCTGCGGGGTGCTACGTATGGGTATACTCAGCAACCGTACGGGGGGGAAGGTGGAGCGGGATGAGGACGGGGAGGGGTAGAGGGAGGAGGGGGGAAGAAAATGAGGGAATGGAGGGGGGGGTGGGGGAAGGCGATTGAAACGTCGCTGGGGGAGTAGGAGGAGGAGGAGGAGGAGGAGGAGGAGGAGGAGGAGGAGGGGAATGAGGAGGAGGAGGAGGAGGAGGAGGAGGAGGAGGAGGAGGAGAGGAGGAGGAGGAGGAGGAGGAGGAGGAAGGAGGAGGAGGCGGAAGAGAGGAGGAGGAGGCGGAGGCGGAGGAGGAGGAGGAGGAAGCGGAGGAGGGTGCGACGGGATCGGTTGGAATTCGGTGTTCGGAGAAAATGGGAGGAAGCGGAGGAGTCTCCCGCGGCCCTCCGCGCCCCCCCTTCTCTGGCACCACAATTGGGGGAAGACCGCCCGCCGCCCGCCACGTGTGACCGCCCGGGGTGCGCGCTCCAGGAACTCCTGGCCTACGGGCTCTACGAGCTCGACGAGCGCGCGGGCACCCGGCGGGGCGCCGTGTGCCTCGCGAGCGTGGACCGCTAGGGTCGAGGGGGGGGCTGGTGGGAGGAGGGCCGGGGGAAGGGTGGGAGGCGGGAGGTGTGTAGGAGTGGGGGCGAGGTGGGTGGGAGGCTGGACGAGGGCGGGAGGGAGGGCTAGTGGGACGAGGTGTGAGGCTGCTGGGAGGGGGGCTGGTGGGAGGGGCTGGGCGAGGTGGGAGGCTTGTGGGAGGGGGCTGGTGGGAGCGGCGAACCGACATGGTCACTTGAAGGCAGCGGGTGCCTAGGATGCAACTCCTGGGAGGTTGAATGCTGAATTGGCGCTGGTATATCCCGTATCAAAAGCTGGAATACTCTGGCTGACTCCCGCTCAATCTGGCTAAGTCCTGTTAGTTTGGCTTCATCCCACTTAATCCCCTGCCGAGTCCCTGGTTTAATCCGGCCTAGCCTGGCCGAGCGTTTTTTTGATCGGGTTTCATAACCTTCAGTTGTTTTGACGAAGACCTCCCAGGAGTTGCCTCACGGAGACATCGCAAGCCATGTTGAGCTCCCTATGGGAGCTCCACCTGTGGGCTTCACCCCCGTTTTGGTACACCCCTCACACGTTTCGTGGCCCCATAGGGAGCTCCACCTAAAGGCCCCAGTCGTGCAGTTCGCATGTGTGCGTCACCACCCTTCGGTACACCTCTCACGTTTCGTGGCCCCGAATGATGTTCCACCACTGAACGTGCCATGGCAGTGCTCAGACGTGGGCGTCACCCCCGTTTCGGCACACCCTTGACGTGTGTCGTGGCACCATGGGGGGCTCCACCTAAGGCCCCAGTGGCAGTGCTCAGATGTGGGCGTCACCCCCGTTTTGGCCCACCTCTCGCACGTTTCGTGGCCCCATACTGAGCTCCACCGAATACGGTTTTCACAACTACGCTATTCAAGACTGCATATGGTTGGGTCCTTTGCCAGGATATTTGTCCTAGCCTTTCTTGTGTTGAGTTCTCGTTTTGAATCGAGCGCTGTGCTCGCGTCTCCCGTTTCCCTCCTCCTCTGTCCTGCCTCCTATCTCCTCTCTCCTGCACTCTGCCTCTCTCGTGGGCTCCTGGGAGGGGGGGAGCTTGCGTGAAGCTGTCTCCACTTTCTTGGGCTCGTGGGAGGTCGCGCGGAGTGGAGTTGTACGGGGATCCAGTTGAGACTTCGCGGCTCTTTGGGGCGCTGCGAAGTGTGATACTTTCGCCACTTTCATGCGCTTCCGGGAGGTCGCGCGGAGTTGAGTTGTACGGGGACCCGGCTGAGACTCCCGCGGCTCCCATGAGGGGGCTGCGAAGTGTGAGTTTGTCACCATTTTGGTGTGCTCTTGGGAGGTCGCGCGGAGTGGAGTTGCGCGGGGACCCGGCTGAGACTCCCGCGGCTCCTTGTGGGGGCTGCGAAGCATGAGCGTGTCGTCACTTTCGTGGGCTCCCGGGAGGTCGTGCGAAGTGGAGTTGTACGCGGATCTGGCTGAGACTCCCGCGGCTCCCTGAGGGGGCTGCGAATTGTGAGTTTGTCGCCATTTTGGTGTGCTCCTGAGAGGTCGCGCGGAGTGGAGTTGTACGGGGACCCAGCTGAGTCTCCCGCGGCTCCCTGGGGGGCTTCGAAGTGTGAGGCAGTCGCCTTTTTCGTGGGCTCCTGCGAGGTCGCGCGGAGTGGAGTTGTACGGGGTCACGGCTGAGACCTCGCGGCTCCCTGGGGTGCTGCGAAGTGTGAGATTGTCGCCACTTTCGTGGTCTCCTGTGAGATCGCGCGGAGTGGAGTTGTACGGGGACCCACTCGAGATTCGCGGTTCCCTGGGGGGCTGCAAGTGTGAATTTGTCGCCACTTTCCTTTGGCGCGGCACTCGGCGCTGTCGCATCGCAACTCGCAGGGAAACGCTGCGCCACGCAGCGCGTGGCGCTGTCTTTTGTCCGCGTGTCCTCCGATTCCCAGCTGCCTCTGGTCCACCATGCCCCACCCCCCCCGTGCGCTTGTCTCGCCCAGCGCGACGCGCTGTTCTGCTATAGAACGCATGGCGCTGTTCTGTCCCGCGTAGGTAGCGCTCTGCGATCTTGCTGCTGCTTAACATGTATGTCACCCTTACCCTCTCCTGTATGCTTCTGTCTCTGCCCCTGTCTTGCCTTCCCTGAGAGCTCATGTGCGCTGCGGGTCCTTCAGCATGTTTGTTTGTAGTGAGCGGTGCCATGACTATATATACCTTTACATCTTTATATATGTTTACATACATATACATATACATACATATATGTTTGTATGTTTGTTTGTTTGTTTGTTTGTTTGTTTGTTTGTTTGTATGTATGTATGCATGCATGTATGTATGTATGTATGTATGTATGTATGTATGTATGTATGTATGTATGTCTGTATGTATGCATGTATGTATGTATGTATGTATGTATGTATGTATGTATGTATGTATGTATGTGTGTATATATTGAAGTTCCACGTGTCTTTATCGCCTTGCGTCCTGCTCTGCCCGTGCCCGTTGTCATATGTGCTCAAAGTGCTGAAGCGGCCCGCCTCCGGCGTGCATGGAGCTCCTCTGGTCCCTGGCACCGGCTGCCGGGAGACTCGCCGAGGCGGCTCTGCTCCGCTGCCCTGCCTGCCCTGCGTGCCCCTCCTGCACGTGCCCCGCGGTCAGCTGCGCACTGACCTGCGCGGGGCCCGCCAGCACCAGTCAGATCGTGGTGCAGGAGCGGGACTGGGCGGGCCTTGCCGCGGCCTTCCTGACTGGCATCGCGCTGCTGCGCGGCTGGGACTGGTTCAGGGCGGCCTACGCCAGGCGCCAGAGCCATCGGTCCGAGGTGGTGATCCAGCCGCCTGTGCCCGCGGCTATTCAACCAGAGCCGGCCCCAGCAGCGTTCGGGAAGACGGTGCCCGAGCTGGTGCCGACAACTCTTGTGGCGACTCCGTCCAGTCTTCGACCTAAGTGATGGAGCGCTCCCTTGACATCAAGGAGTTTCAAGTTTTGGTGCACTTTCCCGATGATGCCAACGGCTTCTTCTGGCATATGCGCATCCCCTTGGTTCGAGCTGGTGGCGCTGGAGTGTGGGTGACTTTGACGCCGACGCTGGACTTGTACACGCATGACCTCAGTCGGATTAGCCACATCGTCTTGGGTCGTAATGCAGCGTGGCCAGCTCGTGTAAATAGAAATGAGATCTTCGGCTTCGACCCCATCACGCGGGTCGAGCTCAACCAGTACATCCAGCTCGCGCGGGTGCAGGCTCGCGTGGTTGCCGATGATGACGAGGACGCGGAGGCCCCTGAGATGGTCTGGCTCCGCGCAGGGCCTGGTGTCGACAGGCTCGGTGAGGTCGTCCCGCAGGAGGTCGTGGACGATCAGGAGCGTTTCAGTGAGATCGGGGACTCGGCTGTGGCGGAGGTGAACGGCACCGTGATTTGGGCAGCCAGGGTGAATGCTGGCGAGCGTGAGGCCTGGCTCAAGGAGCCTCAGGCGGCCGAGCGCGACGACAGGATCATAGGAGTTCACCTGCGTAACGGCAAGCGCTACATCATGTTGAAGGAGGCTCTGGCTTTGTACTCGCAGGTGAAGTATGATGACTGGAGCTTCCCAGGGCCACGTCTTGCAATGGAGTATCTTGAGTTGGTCGACCAGGCTGGCGGATTCGAGGTCTATGAGCGCAACTGGCAGCACGACTCAGGCGTGTACCAGGGCTCGGCGGCGCCCCACCAGCATCGAGCAGGCTCGGAGACGCTGCGCCTTCTGATCGAGGTGGACCGGGTGGACGCCTCGAACCTTCAGGGGGTCGAGAACTTGTGCAGGCGGCAGGTGCAGCTCGAGATGGCTGTCGAGCGCAACCCCGCCCACCCCGACTTCACGGGGCTCGAGGAGGTCATGGGCGGCGCGGTCACCGCCTCCGGGGCGGCCAGCGTGGTGTCGTTCCGCGAGTGGGTCGCGGGCCGCCAGAAGGATCGTGCGACGGTGCTCAAGCAGGCGAGGTTGGAGCGCGAGGAGCGGGGCTATCTGACCCCGGCGGACTCGTCGGGCAAGAGGGTCCCGCGCCCGAAGGCCGACCCCAAGAAGAAGCTGAAGGACAAGGGAGGAGGCAAAGGCGGCGCGGCGGGCGCCGCCGGGGAGGGATGACGGCCCTTCAGCAGGAGCGGAGTCTCCGCGGCGCTGCCCACGCCGCTGGAGGAGGGGGCCCCGCTCCACCGCCGGGTGCTGCTCGCCGAGCGGTCCATCGGCGTCTACTGGGCGATCGGCGACATGGTGAACCTTTCCCTCTGCCTCGGGATCATCCTCCATCGAAGCATGGACTCGAGAAGGGCCCTCGCTATGTTCGACAGCGACGAGCTCGGCAGATTTTTCGGTATGGGCAAGTGAATGAGGCGGCCGAGGCGCTGAATCACCTTGCTACCTCAACAACTCGGCCTTCGGGCCCAATGTATGACAGTTTTGGAAGGAGGACGCCAACCGCGGCGCAGGCGGCTGTACATCGGCGGCTTCATCAGCGAGTGGCTGCATGCGGTCGGGCACCTCCTGATCTTGATGAGCGGCGAGCCCTGGGGGAGCTCCTGGCATCGAGATCCCAGTATGGACTGGAGCCAGCAAACCTGGCAGCGTATGACTTTGCAAAGTTGAAGATCTGTCGGGGATCGCTTGCACCCAGGTCCCCGATGGATGGCCTCCCAGCTGAGGCCGCGCAGATGCTTCGCCACTTTGACACGCAGATCGAGAGGAGCACGGATGAGCTACTCAGTCTTGCGCCGGAGCTGCCGGAGCCGTACTGGGACCCGTCTCTCCGACGATCTGCTGCTAAGCGCCGGCACTTGTTCAAGCACCTGGCGGGAATTGGACTGGTCTCTTTTCGGCGCAAAGCAAAGGCATTCTGTGCACCTTTCTTCGTGAAGAAGAAGGGGGGCGAGATCCGCGTGGTTCTCGACTCGTCAGGCCTGTCTCAGTCATGGGCGGCCGCCCACCGTGCAGCTCGGATCTGCGCGGGCCATGGTGAACCTTGACCTGTCCGACGACATCCTGAGCCAGTGCGGGGGTTTCGGGGGCGCAGCGTCCGTGCCCGTACTCGCTGGTGATGCTGACGTCGACGACTGCTTCTACAATTTCTCGAAGGTCCAGCTCGCCTCCTGGTTCTGCATGGAGGGCGGCTACACCGCGGACGACGCTCGCGAGTTTGGAATTCATCACATCTGGGATGACGATCTCAGGCGCTACGACCTTCTGAGACCTGGCGAGCAGTTGTTTATCTGTTTTGAAGGACTCTGCATGGGATGGTCGTGGTCACTCTACTTGTGCCAGAAGTTTTTCGAACGCTTGTTGCATCGCAGCATCCTCTCGGTCTCGGTGGCGTGCTGCGGGATCGAGCTCCTGCCCCCGAGCTGGCTCCTGGAGTGTGTGCCGAGGGCGTTTATGTTGACAATTTCAACTCCTTCAGCGTCAGTGCCGAGGACTCGCACCTGAGTGTGGAGCGGTTCTGCAGCACTTTGCAGGACCAGAACATCGGTACGCACGGCAGGCACAGTGGGGTCACCTACTTAGAGACCTTGGGCCTAGAGTTCCACGCTCAATAAGGTACTGCGTCATACCCAGCGTCGGACATGGAGATTTGCTCTTGCTACTCGCGCCTTACTTCGCAGATCCTTCATGAGGGGTGAGGAGATGGAGGTTTGGCTTGGCAACGCTGTCTGCATGTTCTCGCTGGCGCCTGAGCTCCTCTCGGTACTGCAGGAGGCCTACACCTTTGTCGCGGAGGCGCGTGGCCGAAGGCTAGCCATCCCCTCCAGTGTACGATTGGAGATGGAGCTGGTCCGTCGGCTGGTTTTCGTCATCGAGGCGGAGGTCGGTGCTCCTATCTGGCGGGAGGTGCACATGGGCGACTCGTCGACCTTCGGCTACGCCCTGCTCTCTACGCCGTGCCAGGTCCAGGAGTTCCATGATGCAGTGAAGTATCGCGAGCGCTGGAGGTACCGCAAGGTCCAGTGCCTGCAGCCCGTCAGGCTCGACGCCCCCGGCGTGGTCGACGAGCTGGGCGGCCTCTCCGCCCGCGGCGACTTCGGCGAAGGCGGCTTCTGCGCCTCGGCTGTGCCTGGCCGAGCAGCTGGGCTCAAGACGGGCGCCCACGCGAGCTACGGCCAGTACCTCAACCAGCGTGCCACCGAGGCGCGGCAGGGGTGGCGCCCTCTTCGCGACACCGTAGAGGCCCAGGCGCCGCCCGAGGTGGATGTCGAGCTCGGCGACGGCATTCCGCCTTTGTCCGAGGCGTGGTCACGGCGGGATCGCTGGACTACGCTGCACGAGCGAGAGTGGCAGTGGCCTGAGGAGCACATCAACGCAAAGGAGGGGCGTGTCACCCTCCAGTCTCTCCGGCACTTTGGGAGGGATGCTCGTGCTCACGGCCATCGCTGTCTGTGCATAGGCGATAACTTGGTGACGTTGAGCGGGTTCGAGAGGGGGCGGTTCAAAAGTCACGCCCTCAACACTCTTGCTCGTCGGTCAGTCCCTTATCGTCTCGGCTGCGGTATTGACATGAGGTATCGGCACATTGTGAGTGATCGGAACGTTGCCGACGAGGGCTCGAGGCGCTTCGATGTCGTTCGAGCTCGCGATCGCCCTGTCGACAGGTTCGGGAACGTGCGCAAGCCGCAGGTCTGTTGTCCGGAGGGCTCGGCTCGTCGGTCCAGGCCGTCGCGAGGTTCGGAGGGACACGTTCTCACAGGCTGTTTGGCGTCGCCTCCGTGCCCCTCCTCCTCATCATCTGCTACGCCTGCGGCGCCTACACGACCAGCGCCATGTTGTCCGCCGACCCCCAGGACTCAGACGGGACCTTCGGGAGGCGGCCCAAGTGGCCGTGGAGCGTCGAGTTATCAGGATGTGATCTTCCTGGAGCTGTTCGCGGGCTCTGCGGGGCTCTCTCGGGCTGTGCGGCGACTGGGGCTACGTGTCGGCCCTGCTTTTGATGTGGCTCGTGGTGATGAATACGATCTTACACGTCGAAGTACACAGCGTCTTATACTACATCTTATTCGCTCTGGCAAGGTCTTCCGGGTCCACATGGGCACCCCCTGTTCCATATGGTCTATATCTAGGAGGGGAATCAAGAACGTTGAGCGAGCCAGGCAACAAGAGCTGGTGGGGGTGGAGTTGGCCATCTTCTCGGCCGAGGTTGCCCGCGAATGCCAGAGGTGTAGAGTAGCTTGGTCTATCGAGAACCCAAAGAGTTCAAAGCTTTGGGCCTTTCGCCCGATTTACGAGCTCTGTGGGCTTCCTGGAGTTGTCAAGGTTGTTTTTGATCAATGCCAGTATTCGGCACCCTGGAAGAAGCCTACCATGGTTCTAACTAACTCGCCCAGCCTGGTCTCCCTGGAAGCTTCTTGCAAGCGAGATCATCAGCATATGCACTTGACTGGTGGTTGCCGCCTTGTTGGCTCAGATGGCCGCATCAGGTGGGTGCGGCGCACGGCTGCAGCAGGGGCGTATCCGCCTGCCCTCTGCTGTGCCTGGGCCCGCGCCATATGGTGGGCTGCCCCTGGCGCTGCCCGTGGACAGCGGCCGCGCTGGTTCGAGGACTGGGGGGCTTCTCTTAGGGAAGCCGTTGCTACCAGCGAGCGTCGACGTCGGCGGGGTGCAGCAGTGGCTGCGAGGCACACCACCGCAGGTGACCAGGAAGAGGGCGTCTTCTTCACGACGAGGGCGGTCAAGACGACCAGGCGGCAGAGGATCGACTTCGCGCGCGCCGGCCGCGGCACCACCATGCAAGCGCAGCCGGCATGATCGCATTGGCTCAGTGGGGGAGCCCAAGCACCGCGCAGGAGGAGACCTCAGTCCTGGTTTTCTCCGCCGTGGTACGGCGGGCCTCAAGACCTTGGAGAACTATCGGAAGGCCACGACTGATTTCGTCTCCTGGGCCAAGAGACGCGGCAAGCCTTTGCAGCCGCCTCAGGTCCTTGCGAAGACTATGGAGCGTTACTGCGAGAAGCTGGCTCTGTCTGGTTACAGTCCCGCTGCTGGCCGTCTAGTGGTATATGGCTGGGCCAGGTCGGACAATCGCAAAGTGATGCTGAACCACCTTGACCCCGTGATCGAGGCTCTGAAAGGCTGGCCCAAGTTGGTCCGCGAGTTCGTCGTCAAGCCAAGCCCTGAGGATATCATTTTCCTGGTGCTCTTGTGGCTTGCCGAGAACGACGGCGTAGAGGCGGCGGCGGCAGGCATCCTCCAGTATGACTTGTACGCTCGACCGTCCGAGATCCTCGACCTTCACTACGACGATGTCATTACGCCCACCTCGGCAGCAGCGGCACCTTATCGTGAATGGGCCGTCGTTTTTGGCCCTTCAGACAGAGGCAGACGCACTAAGACTGGCAACGTTGACGAGCACGTTATTTGTGGTTCACATGGGCGCGAGTGGGTTGTGGAGCTGTTGTCGCTGCTCCACCGTGCGACGCCTAAGGGGGCTTTGCTCTTCCCACATCTCACCTTGCCCATGTACGAACAGGAGATACAGCGGGCTGTGAAAGCGCTCGGCCTCTCGTCCCTCAGCATCGCTCCACATGTTCTTCGGCACTCAGGCCCGAGCAATGATTTGCTGAGAAAGCGGCGAACGCTCGACCTCATTCGCCGCCGAGGGCGCTGGGAGGCTCTCAAGAGTGTGCAACGCTATGAAAAAAAACATGCCCGGCTTCTATGTCAGATGATGAAAGTACCGGTTGCCCTTCTTCCAAGGTTGCCGAAAGCACAGGGACTCCTTCGTGCTGCACTGCGAAGCAGGTTGCCGCGAGGCTTTCAGGACTGAGCTGAACTTATCGTCTTCATTTTTTTTTGGGTACCCACCGTCCATCCCCGACTACCACCGCGCTCACGTTTTTGGCTGTGAGGTTTTGGTCAGGTGAGCGAGCTGATGATGCCCACTACCGTTTCTCGAAATGGATGGTTCAAACATGTGCATCTTCAGCCTCGCCAGATATCTGATTTAAGAGTTCACTGGACTGCTGAATCTCAGGCTGTGCATCGGCCTGTCTTCTGGAGAAAAGAGAAATAGTGAGGCTGACGCCGTGCCCGAGGGCTGTGGGAAGTGCTGGCAGATCTATTCAGTTGATGGGCTCCTCGGGTCACCTGATTTCTCCTGAAGATTGTTTGTCCTCAAGAGGTCTCAACAACAAACAGCGTATCTGGGCAGAGTACTTCAGTTGATGATAAATTGAAGTTCCACGTGTCTTTATCGCCTTGCGTCCTGCTCTGCCCGTGCCCGTTGTCATATGTGCTCAAAGTGCTCCTACCGTCTACCCCGCCACCTCCCTCGACGACAACTGCTTTGTCTTCGTTGTTTTCGGTCAGGTGAGCGATCTGATGACGCCCACTACCGTTTCTCGAAATGGATGGTTCAAACATGTGCATCTTCAGCCTCGCCAGATATCTGATTTGAGAGTTCACTGGACTGCTGAATCTCAGGCTGCGCATCGGCCTGTCTTCTGGAGAAAAGAGAAATAGTGAGGCTGACGCCGTGCCCGAGGGCTGTGGGAAGTGCTGGCAGATCTATTCAGTTGATGGGCTCCTCGGGTCACCTCTGATTTCTCCTGAAGATTGTTTGTCCTCAAGAGGTCTCAACAACAAACAGCGTATCTGGGCAGAGTACTTAAGTTGTTGATGATATATATATGTATGTATGTATGTATGTATGTATGTATGTATGTATGCATGCATGTATGTATGTATGTATGTATGTATGTATGTATATATATATATATATATATATATGCGCGCCACATGTTTAGGAAAAGGCTGGGTGCGCCACTGGGTAATTTCTACATGGGGTCGTAGTCTCGGGATGGGGCGGCGATGCGCGCGCCTACTTGCGGCGAGATTGGAAAAAAGGGGGCCCATTCGAGTGCACGAGCGCCCGACCAGGCACAACTCGGCATTCGACTACGGGGCGCCGCAGCGCGCGACAAACATATCGGTGCTTGCGTGCCAGGGCATCTGCTTTTGCGGTGTTTTGGGCGCCCTGGCGTGGACGACCGAACGATCCCTACAGCGGGGCGCCCTGGCCACGCGGTTGCCGCCGCAAAAACTGCCCGATCAACGCTGGCGCCGCGCAAAGGTGGCGCCTCGGCATGCCAGACGGGACTCTGGAAGTTGTAAGATGTATGTTGTATATGCATTACACAGTTTATTTGGCAAGCATGGTACGATGTATCAGCAGATGCGTACATCTGTAAGCATGTGTGTATATGTATTTACATGCTTTGCGACGGTGATACGGATCGTGCCGCCGACCCTGAAGAGGAACGACCGCGGCGGCGTCGTCGACGACTACGACGACATTGACGTGGGTCAGAGTCTTCGGGGATGCTTCTTGGGTTCTCCGGACCTGTTTCGGGGGCCCCTGAAAGGGCAGTTCTGGGGCCTATTGGGGCCACTCGGGGGCCTGTCGAGAGCCTCTTGGAGGCCTCCGGGGGCTTCCTGGGAACCTCTCGGGGGCGTCTTGGGTCGTCTTGGGGCCTCCTGGGAGCGTCGGCGTTTTGGACCGATCGTTCGGCGATTCGGGGCTCTTTTGGAGCATCTTGAGGGCCTCTTGGGGCACTCGTGGCCCGTCTTGGGCCATTTTTGGGCTCCGGGACCCCTGTGGCTGAGTGGTATTCTGACCCAGGCCGCCTTGTCAACACCTCCGTCAACATCCCCCCAGGACCCCCCCCCCAGCGGGGAAGGGATCAAAAAAGAAAGGTTTGTTTCTTTTCGATTCAACTACGACGTTGCTCCATCTGTGGCTGGCGCGCTGGAGAAGGAGGGCCCAGGGAAGGGGGGAGCGGCGACGGCGACGACGACGACGAATCAAGCGAAATAGCGTCTCGCTCACGCCGACAGGGTCGGCGGTCGGTAGACGCACATATATACAAACAGATACACACGTCCATATACATACAAACAACATGTACACATGTATCAGCCGTATCTGCCCAATCTAGCACTTTTCCCTTGTCCTTCTCTGTTTATTTTGTTTTGTGTATCTGTAAAGGCACGTATTTGCCGACATTGCAATCCAATTCTCCGGCGCAGCCTATTAGCAATACCATTGTCCTAAGTCTTTTGCACCACCACCCGTCAGCTGGACCCCCTTCTGGGTCAACCAAAAACCCGGCCAGGCGAAGCCCAGCCAGGCGGAACTCGGCCAGGCCGAGTTTTGCTGCCAAGCCTCGGTGCCACCCCATTATATTATCATGCTATATATATATATATATATATATATATATATATATATATATATATATATATATATATATATGTGCGTTGCCCCCGCGCGCACCCATGATTCTCGTGGTGTATGCGTCGTGGCGTGCGCTTTCTGGCCACACCGCTCGGGAAACGAACGATCTGCTACAAGATGGGTGTATTATATGTTCGGGTCGGACGCGCGCCTCCAATCGAAAAAGACAAAACGCCCTAAACATACTCTTTTGGCGCTCCGCGCTGCATTTCGTGGATCCGCGCTGGGCCACCCTGGCGGCGCCTCTGGCGCCGCCCCTGGCGCGCGGAGCGCGCCAGGAAGGGGGGTCCAGCGCAAATCCAAGGAATCCGCGCGGAGCGCCAACAGTTTCTGCTTATGGGGTTCTTTCTTCTTCTACCCAAGGAGGGCACAACTAGTAAAGGCATTTCTTTGTGCGTCCCGTGGCCGCGTCGTTCCCCTGTCCTTGGGCGGGGCGCTCGGCGCGGAGGAGCCGCTCGCCGAGGGCGTGGCGCTGAGCTCCGTCGCCGCCTGGCCGCCGGCCGCGCAGGGAGGGGGCCAGGGAGCCGCGGGAGGTCCTCGCGGGGGCCTTCGGGAGGCCTCCCGTCGGAGCTTTGAAGGCGCAGTGCAAACGGGGGTCAGCCAGGGCTCCGGATCCTGCAGGATCCTGCGAAGACCCCCTCTGGCTCCGTGTTAGCGAGCCGCGAGGCGGCCGCGCATGCTGGCTGGCCCGGATCTGCGAAGCCCGGCGTTGCGCTTTTTTTGTTGGTTCTCCTGTATGCCAGTTTTTTGGTTTCCTGCTGACCTGGGTCTGATTGACCCAGGTTGGCAGATCCTCGATTCCGGAGGCCCGAGGCCCAGAACTAAGCCTCTTAGATGTAAGTCGGGCCTGTCCTTCTACAGGAGGAGCACTCAAGACAATCCAGACATCCGCCTGCCCCCTTGTGGGGCCACCAGGCTGTAGGCCTAAGGTTTGCAGTTTCCTGTGCCAGTTGCAGCTTCCAGTTTCCACTAGTACAGTTCTGCTTCTTGCTGCTTCCTGTTCCTTGTTGACTTCTTGCTGCTTACTGTTCTTTGTTGATGGACCGCGCGAGGGGGGGAGGCCCAAAACGGGCATTTTTACCATGCCCTGAGCGTGTGCTCTGAATTGCCTGGGTGGGTAACAATTTACACCCCTCACGCAGGTCGGCGGGGTCAGGGTCCAAAAACACGAGGGATTTTCCGCATTTCTAAAATTCGCTGGCACCCCTCACGCAGATCGGCGGGGTCAGGGTCCAAAAACACATGGGATTTGCCACATTTCTGCAATTTGCTGACACCCCTCATGCAGATCGGCGGGGTCAGGGTCCAAAAACACATGGGATTTGCCACATTTCTGACATTCGGTGGCACCCCTCACGCAGATCGGCGGGGTCAGGGCGCAAAAACACCATGGACTTACCACATTTGTGAAATTCGTTGGCACCCCTTACGCAGATCGGCGGGGTCAGGGTCCAAAAACATGATGGATTTGACCCATTTCTGAAATTTGCTGGCATCCCTCATGCAGATCGGCGTGGTCAGGGTCCAAAAACATTGGGGACTTGCACACAGGCACACACGCACACACGCACACGCGCACACAGGCACACACGCACACACGCACACGCGCACACAGGCACACACGCACACACGCACACACGCACACACGCACACACGCACACACGCACACAGGCACACACGCACACACGCACACAGGCACACAGGCACACGCGCACACGCGCACACACGCACACAGGCACACACGCACACACGCACACACGCACACACGCACTCACGCCCACACGCACACACGCACACACGCACACAGGCACACAGGCACACGCGCACACGCGCACACACGCACACACGCACCCACGCACCCACGCACCCTCGCACCCTCGCACCCTCGCACACACGCACACACGCACACACGCGCACACGCGCACACGCACGCACGCGCACACGCGCACACGCACACACGCACACACGCACACGCGCACACACGCACACACGCACACACGCACACGCGCACACAGGCACACGCGCATACACGCACACACGCACACACGCACACACGCACACACGCGCGCACACACACACACACTGGGGGGGAGGTGGGGGGTCGGGGGCCCCGCGCGGGGTGGTGACCACACGGCGTGGTGAACCAGTGGGGATTCGGGGTGACCGCACGGTTTTTTGGGGCGTTATCCTAGGACGCCTCGAGGTCCCAAAGCCGTGCGGTGGCGGTCCCCGCGGCGAGGCCGTTGGGGATTCTGTGGTCACCACGCTGGGACCCCGAAATGAGGGTGTGGTGTCGCCTCGCAGAGG